GGCAGCGGGGTGTCTGCTGGGCTCACCCTGCTCTCTCTCTTTCAGGAGCCCAGCCGCCGGGGCTGCCGTATTACACCGACCCCGGAGGACCCGGCATGAATCCTGTCGTGAATCCCATGGCGATGGCTTTCCAGGTTCAACCCAACTCACCCCAGGGGAGCGTGCCCTACCCCCCGCCCCCTTCCTACTGCAACACGCCCCCACCCCCCTACGAACAGGTGGTGAAGGCCAAGTAGTGGGGTGCTGCCCGGAGCCGGCCTGGGCGGTGCTGCGGACACGGAGGAGCCGTCGCCGGCCGCCCGCGTCCCATCAACGCTGGCTTCCCGAACGGTCTTAGGAGCCACAAGGGCACGTCCCTCTTTGACACCCTCAGAGCAAGCACAGCCCCTCCCGTTTTCTATAGATGACCAATCTCTGCACTCACTGCGTCCTGTTTCTGATGTCGCCTGTGCTTCGGCAGAGTGTGGACAGTCCCCGAGGGCCGGCCCCCGAGGGTGGCGCGCCCTCAGCCTCAGGCAGGACTAGAGGAGGCGGCCAGCGAGGGCCGGGTGTGGGGAGCGCACAGGAGATGCCTCCCCCACTGGAGCCCTGAGCCAGGCGGCCGCTGGACTGAGGCCCCACAGGGTCAGCTTTGGGGGCCTCTCGTCCCGTCTGTTTTCCTCTTGAAGAAGCTGCTAGAGAGACGTTTGGTGAACGAGGACCTCCCGCACTTTCTGTCTCCATCGCTCCCCAGAGAGGAGGGACACCCCTCTGCCCAGCCAGGGCTGGGAGTGAGGGCCCGGGTGGGTGTCTGCAGTTGCCTGCAGGTCACTGAGGAATGCTCTGCGTTCCTGGGACATCGCTCCGCGCCTCGAGCCGGGACATGGCATTTAGGAGCTTGTCTGACTTGGGGAGAAATCGCGTTCCCCCCTTTTTAGTGCATTTATGGAAGTGCGTGTAGAGCGCTGTTGCTCCTGTCCTGTCCCTTGGCCACCCGGGGTGTGTGTCACTGGACGCCCGCACCCCGGAGGTTAGAAGCTCCATCTCTCATCAGTGTCTCCCCGGAGTGTCAGCAGCTCCCCGGTCTTTGATCGCAACCAGCAGTCTCCACAGCCTCCTGGCAGCTCTGGCCCCGGGTTTTGATGAAGGACACTTTCAAAGCAAAGGC